AGCCTGTGACAGGGCCTCACCACCCTCACAGTGAATAATTTCTTCCTTATATCCAATCTAAATTTACCCTTTTTAAGTTTAAAGCCATTTCCCCTTGTCCTGTCTCTACACAGGACAAGGGTCTGGAGCTCCTGGGGCCACTCTCTCCTGCAGCCTCTCCAGCACTGCCCTGCTGCTTCACAGTTACACCTATAGCTCCATACAAAACCTTTATTTTCTTTTTGGTAACAGCTGGAAAAACAAAGCATTCATTAGCATACATGGAAATGTATTTGGTGCTGTCTTATCACGCACGTGTGGCTATGATTGGGAGCGGCTGAGGAAGGTGCAGTTGTCTTCTCCTCCAGAGCAAGCTGCTAGAAACTACCATGGTCTGCTCCTCGCCGGAGACTCCTGCCCTGGGGATGTACGTATTCTGCTCACACCTGAGTAGAGGGCCCTTTCGTGCCTGATGATCAAGGTGGGGAGTTACAAGAAGCTGGTGACCAGTGGTGGTGGAGTGTGACATCAGGGACATCAGTTCCTGGCTCCTGCCGTGGGGTTCCTCATTAGCTGGTGGCACGTCTTTGAGACCAAGGTCTCCACAGGTGACCTGCACAGGTCTCTCTGCATGCTCTCCCCTTCCTCGCCATCTGGTGGAAATCACCAATCTGCAGAGGTGTGGAGAGCTCCTGCTGCAGGTGCCGCTTGCAGTATGACCTTTAAGGCTTGGGGTTTTCCTGCAGGTAGCTACATACTCCATGAACTGTCTGGGGCAGAGAGAAGAAGAGGTGAGCTCTGTAATTCTGGGAGTCCGAGACAGCTGCAGGTCACAGCTGGCCTGATCCACGGCCCATCTTTCCCTTGGATGCAGGCAAGGAAGAGGCTGAGCTGCTTATTTCATCCCAGCTCCCCATCCTCCCTTATTGCATCTGTTCACATGAGCCCATTGTGTCAAACCTTGGCCAAATGACCGGCTGGTGTCCAGGCTTGGGAAAGGAGGCCGGGTGCTCATCCAGCTCATCCCATGCCACTGTGATTGAGCCCATTGTGTGAAGGGGCACAGGAGACAAGCGTCCCGTTGCAGCACAGAGGGATATGTTGCAGGGCAAAGGGAATGTCTCCATCACTAACTCTGTGACCCCTGGTCAGTGTTGGTGTAACTCAAAGCAGTGTGAGAGAGCATCTGCTTAAGTAACGTGGAAGTCCTGACCGTGCTATTTCCTAGCTTTTAAGCAATTAGCTTTTTCTTTAGCATCCTGACGGTTGTTTTCAGGGTGATGAACTGAATTTAGCACAGTGTATCCTTCCAAATGGCTTGTAGTGAGTGAGAGGGGAATGCCACTGGGAGAGCCAGGCTGGAGGAACTGGCTGGGCTGATCAGCTGGCTGGCTGTGGTCAGGCTAGGAGAACGATGATTTAATGCTAAGAGAAGGAAAGTTGGCTGGTGTCATGAGGAGTTTCCTAACACAGCTCTTACGCTAACATAGGCGTCTTGCAAGAGACAGGGAAGAAGGTGGCTCCTGGGAGACCTTGAAATGAGACTGAATAAAGGCTGAGAGGTGCCTGTTAGGAGATATTGTTTCACTGCACACTGGGCAGTGTACTGCACGCTGCCTTGCTTGGTCCTTTCCATCTTAAACTCATTTGCACTGGAAACTGTAGTTATGAAGCATTCCTGTGTGGGTACCTTGAGGTGCCACAGTTCAGAAGCTGGGAGGCACTGGACCAAACCCCCATCCATAACAACTACAAATGCAACTTTGGCAGGAGTTGCAGCAAACACTTTCTTTTATATATTGCATGAATCAAAAAATGCCCTGGAAAAGCCGTTGCACCTCCGTGAAGTGAAAGCATCTGTCCTGAAGATGGCAGTGATGCTCTTCTCAAATGAGCCATATTTCCTGGCTAAATGCCACTGTTCTTTGAGAGTGACTGTCCCACCCACCAACTCTCCCTTCTATAAATTATTGCAATATTACTTTTCCCTTCAAAGGCTCGGTAATCCATTGCTCTCTTTATTTCTCCCCTCATTTCGACACATTAACACAACTTGCTTCACGCTTGGGCTTTGCAAATGGGGAACAACTGGTGCTGCGGCGTAATTGCGTGTCAGCTCTGAAGTGAGCAGCTCGTGTACAAACCCAGCAGCCCAGGCCCCGGAGTTCTGCCTCCTCATTCTGCAAGCCTGAAATATGTTGTTAATCAAAAGCTAATTAAACATTTTAATTAGTTTTTACAGGATGGGTTTGGTTATGGAAGGTGCTGTCTAGGTCTTTGTGGTGCAGGAAGGTCTTGCCTGGGGCGCAGAGCAGGAGCGTTTTAATCAGCCGCTCTGCTGAAGGACCTTCAGCCTCACAGGGCACCTTTATCTTCGGTGTCTGTCCCCCTTCACCCCTAGCAGAGATGTCTGTAAATACTGCTTCCCATCCGGTAGGCGTCTATGAGTGCTGCTGACCATCTCACCGAGGAATTTTTCCAGAAAAACACATGAAAATCTTTTGAGTTTTTCATAGAGGGGTTCACAGTGAACAGCAATGGTTATATATATATAAAAGTACACGTGCACATAGATTATAAAATATGTTTATATATGTATATTTTAAATATACTGTGATATCACTAAATTTACACTAAAGCCTCTGTTGCAGGTAAAAGCAAGGGGTTGATACTGTGCACTGCAGTGACTTCTTCAAGCACAGTGTGCTGCTTCTCACCCAGCCCTGTGATGGGGCAGGATTTGGCTGCATTTTTTTCCCCAAAGTGATTATTTTATTTTATTTTATTTTATTTTATTTTATTTTATTTTATTTTATTTTATTTTATTTTATTTTATTTTATTTTATTTTATTTTATTTAAATGTTGATAACAACAGACAAAACATCCAATACATGGAAATTTCTGAGGCCTGACTAGCCTCAGGTTAGGAATATCCCACACTCTCCAATTGATTTCTCCTGTTAGCAAAGGGCTTGGTGTTCTCAGCCCCTGCTGGAGCAAGATGCCTGCTCCGTGCTGCACCGGAGCAGCTCCTGGGGGCTGTATAAGGGGATCAGAATTTGGGCAGTCTGCACCTCTTCTGCAGACTGCTGCTTTCTTCTGGTCACGGCTCAGCTTGGCCTCTCACTTGTCTACACAATGGTTTACGTTACTGGATCAGTGCTGGTTGGCCAAGCACATCTATTCTGGTCCTGTGTGCTGGTTTCCTGTGACATCCCTCATCTTACCCCTTCTCCAGGGCACTAAGATCACTGAAAGATCACCCAAAGAATACTAGATGCTGGGGGGTGGAGGTTTGTGGTCCATCATTACATTCCTTTGGTGACCTGCTACAGGAAGAGAAAGTGCACGTGGGCAGCAGGTGAAATGTTCTTGTGTTGAAGCTGTAGATCTGAGGACCACCATAAACTTCCTCCTCTGTGAGAAGCATCTTTAGGACCTCCTTTATGGAAGACTTGCCCAAACCCATCTGCTTCTGCAACAAACCACCCCACACATGCCTGCCTTGGCAGACTGAAAGCAGAAGGCTCGGTAGACCGTGTGCCTATAGCTAAGGCCGGATGGGGCCCAGACACTGTGAGACAGTCCCAAAGCAGTCCTAAAGCCTGACCGGGTACAAACTGTGGTGCATGGTGGCCATGATGGTGTCCCAGAAAGCAGGTACCACAAAAGCACCACAGCATTACCAAAAAAAGATCTTCGCTACTTGACTGACTGCTGCTGAGCTTGTGAGTATTCTTTCTGCCTTTTCCTTGACAAATCTGGTTTCTTCCTCATTTTTCTTACCCTGAACCCACCAGTGTTCAGTTGCACTGATGTCTGCCTGTGCCTTTCACTGGTTTCTGCTCCTCCTCGTCCTTCAACTGCTGCCCCTGCTGCTGGCCTAGGCCCTGGCCTTGCTCTTCCTGGGGCACAGATGTGATGGGCTTCAACATGGGGTCTGCCCGGGTCCACTCTGACCCTAACTCAGAAATACCATGAAGAGTTGATATTAAAGGCCCCAACCCAAGTGGGAGACCTCTTGTCCATAACAAAATCAGTGGTGAAAATAAGTTGCTGAGAAGTTTGCAATGAAACCATAAATGGATCCAACACTACTAGGAGGAAAGTGAAGCAAAGCAGGCTGTGTAATAAAGAGTTCCAGTGAATTGAACAGATCATCTTGTGAATTGGTACATGCATGGACTTTGCCTATAAACTGCACAAGGAAAATAAATAAAGGTGTTTAAGCTCAGTTCTCCTGTGCTGGGGAACTGTTTTCTCACTTTAGCTGTCTCATATACTACAAGTTGTCTCATATTCATTTTAAAAAATATTTTTCAGCATCTGATTTTTGTGCATGTGTATGTATATATATAATGTATACATTAAATAAAAACCAGATGTTTGTAACGGACAAACTATTAATTGCAACTCCTGAGGGAAAAAAAATGGTAGTTATGGTAATGGTTGGCCTGCAACAAAACATCTGATTTATATAATAATATATTTCTATGATTTTGTTCAAATGTTTGTAGCAAGCAAAGTATAAGCTACAATTGCATTTCTAGGAATTTAGGAACTGCTAAGCTCACTTAGACCTATGAGCCTTCTAGCCCAGGATTTTGACATTGACCAGAGTGGGGCGGTCAGAGTGCGTTCCAAGAAACCCTGCACCAAGCAGTTAGGTTATCCCTTATCTCCAAAAAAGTTTCCATTCCTCCCTCTGTAATTAGAGGTTAGCTAATGCCTCAAATCATGAGAGTTTATATCTTTCCTGAGACCTCATTTCAAAAATAACTTTAAATATTTACTGCTGTAACGCTGGTCGTGCTCGTTACGAAAGTCCAATCGTGGCTGGAGTCTTGCCAGGATTTTATTATCTCTCAGCTTCATCCCATTTTCCTGCTGCATGATGATCTAAGGGTGGGTGAGAGCAATGATTTATACGATAACCCAAAAAAAGAATGGTAGCTGTTTTGGGAAATTGTCAGAAAGCAACTAACTTTTCCTATATATAGTTTTTTCCATGTCATGTAACTCACTGCAGCAGGAGCACAGGCTTTGGCGCTGTGCTGTTAGCCGTGGGTTTGTTTTCCAGCCTTATGGCTCTGTGCTGGTGGAGACCCCGAGGCTGGGGCCCACCTGCCAGCTGTGATGTGCTGCTGGCCCAGGGCCACCCCAGGTGCTGGGGTTCGAGATCTGGTCTGGAGCAGCCCCTTCCCAATTGCCTTCCCTTTCCTTTTTACGCACTCAGGGTTGATCTCTGGGGCAGAACGGCGAGCGTTGGCCTGCAGGGTGCGGACAAGAGAACCAGTGATGATACAACCATGGAAATATTGGAGCTGTGGAATTTTGGAAGGCCTGTGCACAGCATACTGGGGAGCTCATGCAGCCTGGAGCAGGTGAGTTGAGCCGTCACAGAGGCAGATGCGTCTCTGGTGGGTGATCTGGCCATGTTTGGAGCAGAGGTGAGGCAGGTTAAGATGAGGATGACAGCATGTGGTGATGTGTGATGGGCTGGACTCGCCTGGTGTGACTGGGGGTGTATGGCCTAGCTCCATGCACACACCCAGCAGCTGCTTTTCTGATAACTGAACAGCCAAATGCCATGCTTTTGCTGAACACGGTACCAACAGAAGACCATGGCCATGTTTTCTGTATGAGCCAGAGGTTGCGGCACTATTCAACAGATACCTGAGAGCTGCCTCATTGAAGGGAAGCTGTAGTCAAGGCATGGCATGATGCTGGTTCACATGCAAGGGAGAAGGTAGCTGGCAAGCCCTCAGTACAGACCCTTTCAGAGAAGCCCTCACCCCTCTGGGCTTAGCCTTGTGGGGTTTGGAGTGGTCTCTGACAGGCTTGTTATTGCTTGGATGAAAGAGAGGCACCGGGATAATGAAAAGGGGTTCTGGCAGGATGATAACCTCACCATAGACTCCCTGTTAGGAGTTAGTAATCTTGCTGATAAACTACCTGCCGTGATGTTATCAGTAGGGATCTCAATGTTAAAAGCTGGATTGATGTCGTGGAGTTTGGTTTCCTCCTCACTCTTTTCACAATGGTAAGGCATTGATGTTTAGCCGGGATAAACTGCTGTATTCCACAGCCATGTGTTTTTGCCTTTGTTTGTTTGTTTGTTTGTTTTTATATGTACTAATAGCAGTCAATATTTTAAATTAATTACCCTGTTCAGGAGGGAATATTGAAATTGGGTGTTAAGCGGCAATTTTGCAATGAGGGAAATAATATCTGAGCTCTTCCCAGGCTGAGTGAATATTTAAACCTGGATCCATCCTTTCCTATCCCTCTTTTCATGGTCAAAGGTGCTGAATAGAAAGAAAAGGAAACTTAATCCGACTTTGAAAGTTCAGTAAATATTCAGTGAATAAGCTGTCCACTGGAAGCCTTGCATTTTCTCGAAAAATTCATAGACACTTTCCAATGTTAATCATACCAACATGTGCATCTTTAGCAAGCAAAGCTGGCTGTGTCTTTCTAAAAATCTGCTAACAATGTCTGTGTGTTTATTTGTATTCGAGTGGTACCTCAGGACCTTTGATTTAATTTTAGGAGCCGTATAAAAAGTAAGAAATAGGGTTGCTGTTCTGGTGCTTAGATCAACAGAAATAGAGTGGCTACATGTTGGGATGCAGGGTGGAACAGAAGAAACAAATGAAGAATAGTTGTGAAATGAAGAAAGTTCCCCAGGAAAGGTCATACCCTAATTCAGCTAACTGTTGTCTTCTGGACATGACTCAGTGTCCCCAAGTGAATGGGTATTGTGGCATGACTTAAAGTAAGGTAATGTGGCCACGTGGCTATTTTTGATGGGAAGTTTGCTAAAAGGTGGGGAAAGGCTGTGTAACTCAGCAAAGCTCTGTCTTGCAGCTCCCAGAGGTGGGGAATGGTCTCCTGGGTGCCTTGTGACCCCCTGGGCTGCCTCCCCAAAGACCTTGAAAGCAGAGGCAGGCACCACGGCTCACTGCTGGAGGGGATGCTCAAGAGCAACATTAAGACTACTTGCGGTGTTGTTTTTTACCCCGTCTTAGCTATTGCTTAAAACCACACTTGTTCTTCAGCTTCGGTTATTGCTCTAGCAGGCAATTTATCCGAATGAGCAGATAGCACGGCGCACTTTTCTTCCAGCTACAGCCAATTCGAATGCTATTAGTGTCTCTGACTGCTTGAAATTGCTCTTTGCCAGCTGCAGCGCCTGGTGCCTTCCTGCACGCAAGCGCCGGGGATGGCGCAGCCAAAGCACAGGACTTTGGCCATTGTCCCCAGTGCTCCTGACGGAGAGGCTGAGGTAGCACACATAAACCTATCCTCATGCATTTAGATGTCTTCATCAGCAGAGAGCACCGTTTGGGAAAGAGACGTTTAAAAATCTCTTTGTTGGGTTTATAGGTGCTTTAAAGCCACTTAGTCATTTGATAGCAGGTTAAAATTAGTCCATACAAGATCAAGCACCAACACAGTCTTTTCCCAAAGCTCCTTATTAGCATTGATTTTTCAGTCAGGAGAAGAGTCGAGTAGTGGAAAATTAAATTAATGATACTGCAGTCTGTATGGCTTGCCTGGAAATGCCTGGCATCTTGTGCAGGGACCTTATCACATGGTTTTCCATGATACGAAACCTAAAGATTCAGCAACACGAACACTAAAAAGTCATTCTAGTTTTTAGGGCATTATTTTGACTGCAGTTAAAGAACTTTTCCCCACATCTGTCTTTCATTTCTGTAATAGTCAGTGGTTGAAATAACATGACCCTTATTATTCAAAACTTCACTTAGATAGCATCCTGGTGATTATGGTCCCCAAAATCACGAGTGTGTTTAGAAATAATACATTGAATCTTTCAGAAACAAACAAATAAATAAAATAAAAACAGTAAAAATTAATCATGGTAAAAACCAGCAACAAAACAAAACACACAAACAAACAAACAAACATAAAGTCTAGGTGTGAGGAAATCTCTGCAAAATGGTGTGCTGGGAAGACAGGGTGCATTCTTAGCTCTTGCATCTCACTGGTTGGCTCTGGCCAACAAAAGGCCAGGTGCAGCCTCAGCTGGGATTAAAGTGAATTCATGCCCAGCAGCGGTGGCAGCCAGAGCAGAGGGAAGGGAGGAGGCAGCCTGACCAGGACAGAGTTTTCCCTGTGCTCCTCATGCTCTTGGGCAGTCAAGGATGGCTACACTGGCACTTTGCAATATGCAAAGGAAGAAACTGGATGTTGAAGAGATGAAGATGAAGGTACCTAAAGGGTAATGGGTTCCCCCAAACACCTTCATTTCTGGCAAGTCTTTTAGTGTTGGGCTAATCAAATCTACCCTCAACTATGTCAAAGCAGGAGTCTCATCTAAGCTCTCTATGTAGAGAGACGTAGAGAGAGATGTTCCTCCATGCTGATTCATCCTATCATATGATAGTTAGGCAGACAAGATCAATGACTTTCTGAAGGCACCTCTCTCCCTGTGCCTACAGGGAGAACCTATGTGGTCAGAGTCATTCCTTAGATATTTCAAGTGATGTCACATCAATCCTGGTGCTGAAGGGACAAACTTAAACCAGCACAGGTATATGGTATACACTCATGACACTGACACATCACTTGTAAGGTATTTGCAAGACCAAGGAGGTGACAAAACAATGGTGAAAATTTCAAACAGCAGGGAGTGGATACCCTGAAGTCGGTGGAGCTGTGACTTTAGATGATTGGACCATATCAGTTTTTGAGGAAAAATCTGCAGAACAGCTTGATTTGTACCAGTATATGATTTCTGGGAGGTGAATGAAATCACCAGAACAGGACTCTTGTGCTAAGCTATGATCACAAACTTTGTACAATGACAAAATGTACAACAGCAAAGACAAAAATTTAATCACAACCTTTTTCTGCCAATTGATGAGTTACTGATGTTCTCCATAGGCATTACAAAACATCTGTTGACATATGAAAAAAACTTTTTTTTTTTTTTTTTTTTTGACATGAAGCATTTCATGGGCACCATTTAAGTTACTCCTAGCCCACCACTGCTTGTTCCATATGTTCTAGGTTGAAAACTACTGGTTTAGAAGATGTTTAGGGATTGGACCTGTTCAGCCCTTCAGAGGGGGAAGAGGGGGACCCCAAAGCCTGTGGTAGAGCTTCTGAGGTCACTTCTTTGAAGGAGCAGGCCTGAAGGTGACCATACAGGCACTGCAGTAAGGAGCCAACCATGTTTATTAACTATCAGTGGGGGTGATGCTGTAGAAGGAAGGAGGGCTGGAAATAATCCCTACATCTCCCCATTTATTTATTTTTGCCTCCATGTTTTCTCTTAGAGTGGTGATGCAAGTTTTCAAAGTCAAATTTTGCCTTGTGGGGAAGAAAAAAAAAAAAAAAAAAAAAAAGCTTTCTAAATGTTGTTTCTTGGGATTTTAATGTGCCAGGCTGGGGCCCTTGAGGAGGATGTGACCGTCTGTCTCTGCAACCTTGTTAGATCTCCCTATGCCTCTTCCCAAAAGCATGTGTTTGAGCACTGCAGGAACATCATGTCATCAACACCGTAGCAGCCAGTTACTTTATCCTATTCAATGCCATCATTTCATAAATCAGATCAGAAGATGACACTGGGTCATTCTGTCCTGACTGAAGTGATTAAGTAGATCTGTGCTATTAACTGCAGTTATCTTCTGAAAATGTCAGACTGCCTGCCAAGATCTTGACATGAGTTAAATAAGCATCTGCTGGCTGAGGACTCGAGCTCTGGATTGGAGGCAAAAACCCAGGGCTCGAGCAGCCTCCCCAGCCTCCAGATCCCACATTTTGCTGCCCCTTGGTGTTTTGGTTCTGTGCACAAAACTCATGTGCCCAGCAGTTTTGCCCCAGCTGTGTAGGTTTTGTAGGTGAGATATCATATAGCTGATGTGAGGAAATTAAGTATTATTCTTAAAGACTTTTTCTGTGTATTTACCATATGAAATCAGTGGCTCCCTCAGATATCTGGCAAGTATCGTGGCTCTGTCAGACATTTTGGAGAAAGAGCCCTGGCACTGACATTAAATGCTGTACAAGAAAGCCCGGAGAAGAGAAATTGCTGCTTTAAGGAGGGAGGATGTCTGCAGCATTGCAAAGTGGCACAGAGAGCACATAGACACAGCTCTTACTGTGGGCTAGGATTGGATTAACATCCCCTCAGCAGTGCTGTGAGCCACCTCCTGCCTGTCTGGGGGTCACTCAGGACCTATCGCCCCCGGCTGTGATGGTGCCATCCCTTTGCATCCTTCACCCACAAATGGGTGCTGGCTCCCATGGTGGCTCGCTGACAATTGCTTTAGGATCTGAATCCTAAACGCACTAGGCACTAGGAAGCCTGCACTGTTGGAGAAAAAATGAATAAATAAAATAAAATAAAATA